GGTCTTCTGAGGCATGTTACCAGATTATTACGTCCACAAGACACAGATTGATACCAAAGAATATGTTGCTTTGGTGTAGCATTTAGAATTTACTGAGAAACATGAAATAGCAAAGAAAACATGGGCAATTGTTAGGATTTGAGAAAGGATTAGGCACAGGAACAAAGGAATAATAGGAAAGCATAACCAAGATGGCCACTAGATCATAGGAAATATAACTCTGAAAGAAACCTATCTGTCTCCAGTATGTGCAAAATAAAATCAACTGCTAAAATCACTTTCTCACAAAAGAAAGGTGGGTTTGATTCTTTGCTGTATTGTGGAGAATTTGACCCCACAATTTATAGGTGGAGAACTTATGTTTCCTTTCATTTCTTATCCATATCCAGGTAATGCTTGTAGTGAAACAAACAAACAAAAATACAATAAACTTCCAGAAACTCCTCTACTATATAAGTTTTACCTGCTAGAGGCAGAGTCAATTCGACTTCAGATCAATTATATAAGTGCATTTACCATCCTAGAAGAAGCCCTAGAATGTTTGCATTGCTGGAAGTGCCTATTACATAAACTCTCAACATTCTCACTATATTTAAGATGAACCTAAAGTAAATTCAATCACAACCAGGGCATGGAAGCAGTCCATTCCCCTCCTAGAGGTGGGGATCGAGGAGTTAAAAAGATGTAAGAATGTTATAGTATTGCAATATAAGTTCCATACCTTCTATGTGTGTCCCAATCTTGCATGCATACCCAAAAGGGGCAAAGCTTGTAATTTATTTAGGCAAATTTTATATTAAAGATATTTAATTCTCCTCCCTCACCTTAACATTGTTAAAATATTTGAATGTGACAAAAAGCTCAGAATGTGTCTACTCAGTGGTACTGAATACAGGAGCTATGTCATGCTGTATTACTTAGATGCATTTTGTTACAGAGGTAAGAACCGATTAGTTTGCTTGTCCTAAGAATTGCAGTCTACCCAGTCTATGTACAACTCCACATGAAAATGAGAAGCATCTAGCTTTAAAGAAAGTTTTCATAAGATAAAGATATACAATATACTCAGAATGTCCCTAAAGATTTTCACTATTTGCAGTATTACTAGTGGATATGTTGGAAAGCAAAAGGAAATGAAAATAAGCAAGCAATAATATTCAGCTTCATTTGAGTAACGCTGATAAATTCAGTGACACATGTACAGGATAGTACCATTGGAGTGATCTTACAAAAATACATTTGATTTTAATACATTACATTTAAAAATGACATATAAAAGTCTCTTAAGTAATTTGAAAAAGAAGTTCCACTAAGAATACATAGGGCTTTCATTTATATGTTTGTTTACTTTAGTACATTTAGATGTATAAGGACAAATCTTGCTTTTAAAAATGGCTTTTTAGAGCAATCCTTTATTTCAACAGGCAACGTGTGTTTCTGCTCAATAGAAGTGCCAACTGTTTATGTGTAGCTTTGAAGCCCACAGTTTTAACTCTTATGACTCTTTTTCTTCAATAAACTATACAGACCTTCAAAGAAAGCTTCTAAATTGGGGTGAGGTGGGGTTTGGCACTCCTTCAAATGTCCTACTGTATGCAAAAGAAGACTGATGATTATTCTTTTATAAATCCTACCATTTAAAACAATGGGAATATTTATGGTGCTAAATTGAAGACATCTGTACCAAGCAGCACTATCAATATTACGGATTGGATTTTCATCACTCTTCTCTGGAAAGCCACAAGCATGGTCTAATTTAAGTTGAATATAAACAGAGCTTTAGCATAGAAGAACATCCAGACATGTTGATAATATACTGGTTCCTACTATTATAGTATACCCAGCAGATCCATAACTGAGATTGATTTGAGATTATTTATTACCATGGCAACTGAAGTAAATTTGAATATATCAATGGAACCATGTATTTATATTAGATTTCCATATTCATGATTTTTAAAAATGTGCAGGCTCTGTAACATTTTAATGTCTCTCTTTCCTTCAACATCTTTTGTCATTTGTTTTAATATTTGGGTCAGTCAACTTATTTATTATATTTTACCAATTATAGTAATTCTTTCACTTACCCCCAAAATATACTGAGTCTTTGGGTCTCCTAGTTGATCCTTGCTGTTGTGGTTTGTTGTATTTTAAATTATCACTGGGAAAAAAGAGATAAATTAGGGGTCATAAATATTATTTTCTCCTCCAGTTTTATGATCTTGTTAAGGTTTCTTTTTCTTTGTAAGAAAAGAAAAATCTTGCCAATGAGCCAAGTGAAATTATGAATTTCCTCCTGGGAGAAATTTAGACAGTCTCATTTTGCTTCCTGTAGGGGTATTTTTAAACTCTAGGTGATTCACCATCTCCCAGCAGACATAAGGGAGAGCATCTGCATCAAGCTATATGGATCCTAAGTACTTTACAGTGTTTAGTCAATCATGGAGTATAAAGCAACAACTTTCCTGCAAACTATCTTAGGATGTAAATTGCTGATGGGTTAATATGACTGCATTTGGACTGATTTTTGCTTAGCAAAAGTCTGGCTTGAAAGATGTACTGAAACCTCCCATGTGCCAATCTGGTAAAAGGGTGGGAAAGACTGATAAAATTTCCTTCAACCAAATGTTTAGATTACTGATAATCCACTAAGCACATTTAGTTATTAGCAAAAGTCTGGATCATCTGTCACCTAAAAGAGCTCAATTCTTTAACATGCTAATAATATAAGGTAAGTGCACAAAAACACATCTTTCCCCTGATCATCTTACTTATTCTTCTCTATACCTGAGTTCACCCAATTGTCATGGTTGTTATAATCACTGCTCATTGAATAAACCAGAATCACCTAGGCCATATAATGCTTTATTTAAACTAAATTTGTATATTAATGATTGCATGATTTCTGTAAATGCCAACAAACAAACAAACAAACAAACCTGGCACATATAACTTGCTAAGCTATAACCCATATTTTACAGAACCCAATGATTTGGTTCACACTGTGCTCTAGGTCTTGTATGTATATATGTGGATATATGTATGTGGTGTGTGTATGTATATACATACATACTAGCAAGAAGTACTTAACTACTTAATATGAAAATAATTATTTTGTGCATTTGTTTAGCTTCAAATGTTGTATAAACCCAAGTTGTAAGTTTTATATAGTTTACAGCCAGCAATATAAAAACAACTGAATTATGTATATCTATTTAAAGCATCCATTTTGCATTTAGATTAGACAATCTTTATTGTCATTTTTTTCTGTGGGCACAATGCACACATTAAAAAAATGAAATTTAGTTGCTTCCTCTCAACTCATACATAACGCACATTTAAAACATGCTATCTACAACATATATACCTACACCCTTACATATAAGTAACATATAAATATTAATCACTGTCCATCTTGAATACATAATGGAAGGAGGAAGCTTTAGAGTTCACAAGGTTAATACTGTATGGAACAAAGCTGTGATTGAATCTGGATGTTCTGCTTCGGATACCATGGAGCCTCCTTCCAGAAGGTAACAAGGAACTCCATCACAAACTTACAGAAAATAAAAATCAGATACAACATTTTCATACATCCTATTCTAGTAGTCATGTCCTTGGTCATACTCTCCATGGTTCTTGAGTATGGCACAGTGATAATGTGTGGGCTCTATGCTCTGAAATTTATCCATTCTTTCACCAAACCATATTGATTGGCCACTTTTGGTTTACTATACTATGATTTGGAAGCCATGGTTTGTGGCTTAACTTATGTGAACTTAATTATGGCCTACTAAAACATGGTTAAAGAAACCTGACAAAATATGGCCCCCTTCAAGGTGCTATTTTTTATGCCAAGTTTACTCTAATGCTCTCTTTATGAATATGGAACCTGATGAGGACTGCATTATCATTTTGTTCAAGAACAAGAGTAGGAAATCTCCAGTTAATAATAATAATAATAAAGTTGGAAGGGACCTTGGAGGTCCAGTCCAACCCTCTGCTAAGGCAGGAACCCTACACCATTTTGGACAAATGGCTGTTCAATCTCTTCTTAAAAACTTCCAGTGATGGAGCATTCACCGCTTCTGGAGGCAGGTTGTTCCATTGGTTAATTGTTGTAACTGTCAGGAAGTTTCTCCTTAGTTCTAGGTTGCTTCTCTCCTTGATCAGTCAGCTGCGGACAGTATGTTGCATGCTTACAAGTGGCAGGAGTTGTAGAGTCTCCATTCCTATTTCATCTATTCTCTGTTAAATTCACTGGAGGTTACTAATTCAGTGTCTTTGCATGAATATAGTAACATACAGATACACTTCCAGTGTTAACCTCGGCTTTTTTTCTATGATGGGTGCCTAATTCCAGCTTCCCGATTGCTTTCCTAATAAAGTTATTTTTTATTTTTATAGTATTTTTTTCCTTTGGTATGGAATCTATTTTGAAGAAGTAACAATAAGGTAATGTGTGGGCTGTGTGTTCATTATCCTTAATAGGAAGCATAAGGTAGGGGGTGTGTGCGTCTGTGCACCGTTTTTCACTAACCTTCTGTAAGAGTCTGCAAATGTGTGCTGGACTACAACTACCATCACCCACCCAACCCAGCCAGAATGTATTTTAATGTATCTGAAAGACACCCTGTCGAGGAATGCCGTCCAATAATGTTTGCGTTCTTAACTGCAAAACAGGCTCTTCTGCAAGAAAGAACCTGGGCCCTTCTGGCCACCCGTCTCCCACATTGAAATCTGTGGAACGTGCACAGGCCGGTGTAAAAACAAGAGCCGGGATGTTCCTTTACACAGACGCCGCTTCCGAGGGACAGGAAAGGAAGCGCCTCATCCACATTCCCGCCCGCACCTTTTTTTCTCTCTTCCTCTCCCCCGGGTAATTCCCGGGCGACGTTCAGGGAGTCTTTCAGCAGCCCAGCCCCGCCCGGCTTCCTCCCCGCCTCCCGCGTGTCATTCACTCTTTGCATCTCGGTCCCTCCCCGCCGGCAGGCCCATATACTCTCTGCCTCGCACTCGCCGAGGCCACAGGAGGAGCGGCGCCCCTCCTCCTCGGCCTCTGCCCGCCTTCTTTGCAGCACCAGCAGCAGTGCCACCAGCGCCGTCTCTCCCCTTCGTACAAGCGTGCGGAGAAAACCGGGCAGCCACCGAGAAAGGACCCGCGCTGCGCTTGTGGTCGCTGGAAGGGGAAGGTGGGCGCTCTCGGTCTCTCCACACGAGGTCGAACTACAGGGAGAAGCGGCCGCTGAAACGTGCGCGACGCTTGGCTCCCCCATGCCGTGAACTGCGCGGCTCCCAGGAGGCAGGATCCGAGCGGGCGGAGGAAGCGGCGGCTGTAAGTGGGACCCTCGCGCGCCGACCTGTTGCCGCGTGAACAGGTTCGAGCCTAAGCCGGCTCGGCGAGCGCCGGTTGTGGGTCTTTGCCAGAGGGGGTGGTGGTGGTGGTGGTGGAAGAAGAAGAAGACTCTGCCTCTCTGCAACCTGAGTCTAGCCTCAGTTCACTGAGGTTCACTCAGAAGTTGAATTCAGCACGATTTGTTGTATTCTTGAGGAAGGGGTTGCAGCGGGAGAACTGAAAGCGATTTTGTTTTCAGTCCAGAGGTCCTTAATGGGTCGCAGAGAGGCGGTTTGTACCCTGCACGGAGTTTAACGCTGAAGGAACACCGAAACTATTCTCTGGAAAAAAAAAAGTGCGGGGTCAGAAGGTGCAACTTCTAATCTCGCTTGATTTCCCGAACTCAGGACGACCTTAGCCTCTAATTCTTCGAGCTTAGAGGACTGGGTCGGTGCACTTCCAGTCAACACACATTTACTCCTTTCCGTCCTACAGGAAGGAGGAGGGTCAGAGCGTGTGCTGCTTGCTTCCTTCCTTTCCCAGGGCTGCCTGCCTCTTTCCCCCCCTTCCACTTCAAAGCAAAGAGGGGAAGCGGGAGGCAGCCGTTGACGGAACTTTTGTATTTCGTGGAAGAGGGGCGCACGTGGTTCGCTGCTCTTCCGCGGAGTTGCAGAAGGTGCGCGAAAAGTAGAGAAAAAGAGGGGTCCGAGCTATGCCCGTTCAAAATCTCAAGCTTTAGCCTCGAGCACCATTTGGTCCTCACAGTTTAAAACGAGATGTGTTGAAACATGATGGAAAACGCTTCCTTTAAGCAAATATTTATTCCTGTCTCTTCTAACATTGAAAAAAATGGAAGCTTAAATTTATCAGCTTAAAAATAAAACTCGGAGAGGATGTTTACATCTGTATAATGTTATGGAATAAAAACTAAACTAACGCTATTAGAAGATAGTAATTTTCTTTTTTTAAAAAAACACTATTGGTCTATTGGTCATCCAGCTGTTTCTAGTGAATAGAATGCCATTAATTATAGTAATGAAAAAGATCACTGCACACCAAAATTAGCAAAGTAAAAAACAGCAGATTCTTTACCTAAGGATATGTGTGGTAAAGTATGATAGGCTTATCAGTATTTGCTTTGTAACTGAGCCCACCCCTCATATAGCTCTTTTGAAGTCTGAGCCGTTACACAAAGGAAGTAAAAGATTTGTTCCTCTGGCTGTTTCAATGCATATTGCTGCATTGAAAAACAAAATTATTAAAAAGATACAATGTACATACTGGATTAGTTGCTAAAAGATTTTTAAGATAAAAGCTATAAAATTGACAAGCTTGAATGTGCTTACACCTGTGTGTGCATGTTCTTGAATAATTTTTAGAAGAGCTATCCAAATTCAGAACAGAGGAAGATAACATTCCAGTAATGTGCTTTTATGTCTCTCTTTGAACAAAGAAATAATGGTTATTATCAGTCCTTTGATTACTTCCATTGACTTGACCACACTATCAGTTTGGTTTGGGAACAAAGTAAAGATTCCAAATTCATTAATGACATAGTTTGGAATTCCAGATGTTGAAGAACAAGTAATGATAGATAGCAATAGCCTTCTGCTATTTAATAATTAATGTTGGAAATCTTTTGATAGAGTAATGTTGGAAACAGGTTGAAGTTAAAACATAGGTTGAGGATAAAATTTGTCTCACAGAGTCATTTCTTCTGATTTAGGATTGTGGGGAAAAAACATTAAGAGCAGGATCCATTACTTCTGTAATTGTTCCAATGAATTCTTAATAGGCAGTATTTCACACTTCAATACTTATGTATGTTTTTTCCCTTCTGTTTAATCGTGTCCAATTCTCAGAGACTGCCTGGACAAATACCTGCAGTTTCCTTGGAAATGTTTTTCAGGAGTAATTTGCCATTGCCTCCTTCCTAGGGTTGGGAGAGTGACTGGTTGGCTTTATGCCTAAATTGGAACTACAACTCACAATCTCTCAGTTTCTAGCCTGATGCCTTCACCATTATACAAAATTTGCTTTCTATGTAATGTTGTCTGTGAATAAATCCCACCTAGCTCTTTGAGGTTTACTTAAACCATGTGTATGGCTGAACTGTTACATACAATTTTAAGTTTTATAAGATAAATTATCTGAATGGCATTGCCTTTATTTGATGGTTTGTTTAGTGTTGTAAATAACTTGGTAGAACTATTTATGGCTTAGAATTATAGCACTAGAAATGGCTATTCAGATCATGTAGTCCATACTTAAGACAGTTTGGAGTGATAGCAGAAAGTTTAAAATGGACTGTATTTGATAGGTCGTAGGACCCAGAAATAATAGGGACCCTGAATAATAGGCAGCTTACATAAAGAAGGTATTAGCATAGAACCACATGGGAGACAATCAGTCAAGTCTTCAATAGTTATTGTAGTAGTCATTTTGAGCCATTTAGGATAAAAATGCCTGAGCACATATTAGGAAGCATACATATCTTGGAAGAAATTATACATAACTAACTATATTTTCATCTAGTGTTATTAGAGGAATAAAAACAATAAAATAGATAATCACATAGGGATACATATTTCTGAATTTGCAGCCTTTTTCTAATAGAAAAGATGTTTAGATTAGCATCTATAATCTCATAGTTTGCCAAAAAAAAATTACCTGGAAAGTGTGTATGGGAGATGGTTATTCAAAGGTATTTTAACTTTGTTTTTAAAAATGGGAATAACAAAGTGAGGTGAATTTAAGCAATTCATGTGATCGAGATTCTTCTCTATAAATGATCTAGGATTGTACATTCCCATGCTATTGGGGAATTGTAGGTGTTTCCATCTGTACATATAAAGAAGATGCCAGATTAGTGAAAGCTACCTTAGAGGAATCTTTTAATTCATAGGAAATTATTTTAAGATTTTAATTTATATGTTAAGCAGGATAAAATAGCCATGTCATAGCTGTGCTATTGAAATCTATAGTAACCATTAGATGGCAACAAAAAGCTACAATACTTCTTTGCTGCTATCTAGTGGTCTTATGCATTTTGCATTTCAGTGTGAAGTACAGTTACAATTGTGGGATCCTCAATTAACAAATTAACAAACATCCCCAGTGATGGGTAGTTTATATTTTAACCATTTCTTTGAATAGATATAACAGGTGTTGAAATAACCATGTTTTCCTCCAAGAATATGAATTATTTTTGAAAGGGAAAAAATGTAGCAAAAAAAGAAAGAAAAATCCTTTATGGTAGTAATTAAGTGATCAAAATAAAAAAAGAGAATAATTGGCTATCAAAGTAGCCAAAGTAGTACTTTGATAGCCAATTATTATCTGCTTAATTGTTACAGATATCTCCTCGTACAAAAGTTTGATTTTTCTTTTATGGCTGCCCAGCTCTCAAACTGCAGCTCTGGACAGTTGATATGTTAAAAACATGAAAATGATAAATACTGGCCATAAAAAAGTAAAACTTTTTTCTCCAACTTGCATTACTTGGTTTGGAATAAATATTAGAATCAAACTGCAGAACTTCTCCTCTCTTAGAAATTTCTACATATACTTAGTAGTGGCAGCACCTTTACAAGTAGCAAAATACTAGCAAAGGTTGCTGTCACAAAGTAATACTAAACAGGAAATTTTTGAGGAATAATAGGCACCATAAGGATAGGTCATGAATTCTCACTTTCCTTACTTGCTTATCTTTTCCCTGAGGGAAGTGAAGCATTATATTGAATTGAGCACAGGCTTTCTGTCCTGAGCTTATAGTCTGTTACCCATTTCTAAGTCCTGACTGGAGTCCTCTCAGGTGTCATATCTGACTCATCATTGAATAGCAGCTTAATGAGTAGTTCAGCTTCCTTTTGCTAGGTTCTGTTGATTCTTTCTGGTCTGGTGACAGGCAGTCTTGTGGGAAAGCTTTATGGAGGTCATGTCAGATTATATTTTTGTCTTTCTTCACTCCTTCCTCAGTTGTGGAGATAGTCTTTTTCTATGGGCAGTGGTGGTTTCTAGGACACCTGAACAGGTTGGACCTGTGCAGCTGGTTGGAATATCTCTTGGGACTTCAGATTCTGTTTGAATGAAAGAGTTCTCCGTCAGAGACAACAGCTTGTTGTCCTCCCTGATCATCTGCTTGCCATTCCCTATGAAACTGTTTTTCCAAATTAGGGCAACATTCTTGAAGTTGTACTTACAAGATAAGAAATTGCAATTTGCATGTCTTTCTCATAGGTTGAACCATTGTCTTATCTATGAACATATAGAATGGCTCCTTCAATCTGTGGGAGAAGGATAGGTGACCATGCCTGCAAGGGCATAGAAAGGTGATTTTTGCTGATTCTGAGTTCTTCTGGGATGACATGGCTGGAAAGTAAAGAACATGTTGGCAGATTTTCTCTATATCAGCAGGAGTATTAAGAATGCTCAGGGCTCTTTCTATTGACAGAATTAAAATTTTGTTCCAGCAAAATGACTATGTTCACACAACATTAGTGTATTAAATGAATTCAGGTACTATCAGTGGCGGCTTAGCATGATGGATTAGTTCAGAAATTGTATCTTATGACCCTGGCGTCTTTGTAGTAGCTTTTAAATTCCGTTTTCCACTGAATTTATTCTAATGATTTTACCTTGAGAAAACTCTGATCTTGTTTTAGTTTATGTAAGCATGTTGCATATTGAAGTTTTGGGGATTTTCTTCCTCTCCTAGCATTGGTGGAAATTCCTATTTAGGATTTTTGGTTTTTTTAGTCAGCACCTTGTTCCTTTCATAATTTTGGGCCCTTTGGTAAATTGGTGGGAATAAAGATTCAAGAAATCTGGAATATACTAGGCTGAGTAAAACTCAGCATATAATTAAATCATATGTGTGCCATCTTAAAATATCTGTTGCTGGAGAGAGATGTAGCTTTGAGGTAAAAATCTACTGGTAACATTATAGTAATTAAAGTAAAATATACTGGGAATGATCTATTTGTGTCTTACTTTTTACATATTTTCATGGTATGGGTAGAATTGGTTTTATCAGGATATAATCTTAATAAGGTTAATTTGTGGATGCTTGTGTTCCTTGAAGTATTCCTGACTGTAACGTCTTTGTTTGTCCTACATTATGATTCAACGCAGAAGCACGTTTTTAAATATGTGTGTCAGTACATAATTATTAAATCAGCTGCTGTATGCTGGAAAGGTGTGGGAAAAAATTCAGACCTGTCTTTTTTTTTTTCACCCATTCTGAAACTGCCACTTATGTTACGAAAGTGGGAGGTCTGGTTTGCCAAGATAATCCTGCTGTCTTGAGCAATTATTTTTAGACTATGCCAGTTAAGAAATATATATTAGGAAAAACAGGCAAAGGATTGGTTGTCCTCAACTCCTGTTGCTTAGCATATTCCTGTGCTTTGCATGTTTTGCTGCTAGTTGCTTTTTTTAAAAAAATTCTTGTTTCTTGGAAATAAACTCTGTAGTCAGTAGACAGACTTCTGAGTAGATGTGTATAGGTAATTGTTATTTTTAAAACATTTCATATTGTATTTTGAGACTTCTTAATTAATTTATTTTTTTTTAATATTTAGGTGTGGAAGAAAATGTCAGTCAGCATGCATGAGAATCGGAAGTCTAGAGCCAGCACTGGCTCTATAAACATATATTTATTTCACAAATCTTCGTATGCTGATAGTGTCCTCACTCATCTGAATCTTCTGCGTCAACAGCGTTTATTTACAGATGTACTTCTCCATGCTGGGAACAAGTCATTCCCTTGCCATAGAGCTGTCCTAGCTGCCTGTAGTCGATATTTTGAAGCCATGTTCAGTGGTGGTCTTAAAGAAAGCCAAGCCAGTGAAGTGAACTTCCACAATTCCATCCATCCAGAGGTTCTAGAACTTCTCCTGGACTATGCGTACTCTTCAAGGGTCATCATCAATGAAGAAAATGCAGAATCCCTTTTGGAGGCAGGTGATATGTTAGAATTCCAAGACATTAGAGATGCTTGTGCAGAATTCTTAGAGAAGAACCTTCATCATACTAATTGTCTTGGCATGTTGCTTCTGTCTGATGCTCACCAGTGTACCAAACTTTATGAGCTTTCTTGGAGGATGTGCCTTAGCAACTTCCAGACTATCAGTAAAAGTGAAGATTTTCTCCAACTTCCAAAAGATATGGTTGTTCAGCTGCTCTCTAGTGAAGAATTAGAGACTGAAGATGAACGATTAGTTTATGAATCTGCCATGAACTGGATTAACTATGATCTAAATAAACGCCACTGTTATCTGCCAGAATTATTGCAGACTGTGAGATTGGCTCTTTTGCCAGCCATCTATCTAATGGAAAATGTAGCTACTGAAGAGCTTATCACCAAGCAAAGAAAAAGTAAAGAGATTGTAGAAGAAGCAATCAGATGCAAATTGAAGATTCTGCAGAATGATGGTGTAGTCACTAGCTTATGTGCTAGGCCTCGAAAAACTGGGCATGCCTTATTTCTTCTGGGAGGCCAGACTTTTATGTGTGACAAATTATATCTTGTCGACCAAAAAGCAAAGGAGATCATTCCAAAAGCTGACATCCCAAGTCCAAGGAAGGAATTCAGTGCATGCGCAATTGGCTGTAAAGTCTATATTACTGGTGGTCGAGGATCTGAAAATGGAGTCTCTAAAGATGTTTGGGTATATGATACACTTCATGAAGAATGGTCCAAAGCAGCTGCAATGCTAGTTGCTCGGTTTGGCCATGGTTCTGCTGAACTCAAACACTGTCTATATGTTGTAGGAGGTCACACAGCAGCCACTGGTTGTCTTCCAGCCTCTCCTTCAGTATCCTTAAAGCAAGTAGAACAGTATGATCCTGTGACTAACAAATGGACAATGGTTGCCCCACTTCGAGAAGGAGTAAGCAATGCCGCTGTAGTCAGTGCAAAGTTAAAACTCTTTGCTTTTGGTGGTACCAGTGTCAGTCATGATAAGCTTCCAAAAGTACAATGTTACGACCTGAGTGAAAACAGGTGGACTGTACCAGCCACTTGTCCTCAGCCATGGCGATACACCGCTGCAGCTGTTCTGGGTAACCAAATTTTTATTATGGGTGGAGATACTGAATTCTCTGCTTGCTCAGCTTATAAATTCAACAGTGAAACCTATCAGTGGACTAAAGTGGGAGATGTGACAGCTAAGAGAATGAGTTGCCATGCTGTTGCATCTGGAAACAAATTATATGTTGTGGGAGGCTACTTTGGAATCCAGAGATGCAAAACATTAGATTGTTATGACCCCACGCTTGATATGTGGAACAGCATAACCACAGTGCCCTATTCACTAATTCCAACTGCATTTGTGAGCACATGGAAACATCTCCCTTCTTAACTACATGTGTGCCTGTACAGGTGAGAAATTGCTTATTGAAAATATAGTGGCTAAGTTCACTTTTGTACAAATATAAACTGTAGAGATTCATTTGAATAAGCAGGAAGCGAAAAAGCTGGTATGACTCAACCAGTGCATGAATAAATATAAGATCTATTTCATAGGATACTTTGTTCATATATAAGAATTTTCCCACTTACTGCCAGTTAAATAGTGCATGAATTGGTCATGCACAACTATCCCTATTAGTAATTTCTGTATCCATGATTATTTAATTCATAGGCATATTTATGTAAGATTGTTCTTGAAGGTAATTATGGGTTGTTCACATAGACATATTTCTTTTTCCCCCATTTGCAAATGATTTTGAGAAAATGCCATCTAGGAGAAAATTTAGTTAAAATTATAGTTTTCTCGCATTTTTTTTCTAATAGAATGTTTCATTCTTTTAAGACTGTTGTAATATCCACACTTTACCATTTAAATGGAAATAAAAGATTAGTATAATTAATGTAAGAGTGATTAGTGGAACTGATTACACACACACACACACACACACACACACACACAGTATATACTGTGGGTATGTATAAATAAATGATTGGCACAAGCAAATAATTGCTGGTTCTGATGTGCATATGGGCAACAATATAAACTGCCTGCCTATCTTTTGAAAGGACACTATATGAAATATTAAAAAATTGTATATTTTGGACTTTATGGAATCAGGACTATTAATAACTGAAGCAATAAGAATCTGTTTCCCCAGGGTGGGGTGGAGTTAGAAAAGTGAGTTCTTGTGTGTGAGGGTGAATCATTCTGACCCTCTGTTTAAAAGACATGCCAGTTAGCTTAAGTAATAATTGGTTAGCAACTTGGGATGTTTCAAAGCCCATAAATTCAATCTGAAAGTAATATAGTGGTCCAGATATGCACCTGATGTGGGCAGGTGCAGTGCTGGTGATTTTAATGGAATAGTATCTGCTTATAAACAATTTAAACTAGCTCATGCAGATACCTGTATTTCTTCCTTTTTTCTACATTTCTGTTTTTATTACTGTTATTGATTTGCCTTCTGATTTTAAAATTTGAAAATGCCAGAAACCTTCCTTGCAATACATTCTTTTCTTTAAAAAATGACCAGCTATTTCTGTAAGATAAGCCTGCCCTTTATCTCTTTTTTATTCTTGCAGAATTGCAAGAGGTTATGGCCTTTAGTAAGGAAAGGAGGAACCATTAAGTTTAGCAGGGCATGTTTCTGAGTTAGCATGCTGGAATCAGATGCAAATTTTGCTTTGCTAGAATGCATGCAGCCCATTTGTATTCGTTGCTAATTGTGCTTGGAGGAAAAAAAGCTGAAAGGACTTCAAATCTTCAAACCACATGTTAACTAGCAGTATATATGCTCTGGTATAAATATTTCAGGGGCTGCAGTTTAAATAGACCTATAATTTATCCAGTCATCTAGAAGTTTTGTAATGTATACATAAATCCAGTTGTAAATATTTCTTGGCATTAGTCTTTTCTTGTGAAGTTGAACTTTTAGTGTCAAGATTAAAAAAACTAAGTAGCACTTGAAACAAAATCAGAACAGGTTTTTTTTGTGTAAAGGAGAAAATAATGAGGAGGCCCTTGTAGTATATTGTAAATTGGTCCATCAAAATGCAAATACCTGTATCAGTATAATTGCAGAACTGCAACCTTAATTCTAAAGAATAGCTGTGTTGCATATTTTTACTCTCTAAACCTGTGAAATGTTTTTCTCAGTCAAAGCTTGATCCACAGACATCAAGGCATTGTTTAGTTCTTTTGGTCTAGAGTGGATTTAGGTACATTTCCAGATAAATAGTTTTGTCCTTCTAATAAACAGCAAAGTACATGAAACTCTTTATTATATAATCAATTTTCCTTCCATCAGTGCTAATATTTAATGTTTTATATATTAAAGTTTGATATGGATTCTTTTATTTATCTAACAACTTATAAGGCAGGTGTTCTACAATTTCCATTTGTTGTCTTGGAAAGTCCTAAATAAGAAAGGTTGTTATAAGGTGGTAAGATAGATAAGATAAAATAACCTTTATTGTCATTTTTATACTGTGGGCACAATGGCACACATCAAAAACGAAATTTAGTTGCCCGCTCAGAGTGAAACATATACATGACACAAACCTAAACATACTGTGAACAACCCTAAACATACTATGAACAATCTAGTAGGTGCATGAATTCAAAATCATAAAATAAAATAAGTTACTTTTTATTAAAAGAAAGGCCTCATTTCCATTTTAGATTTGAAAAAAATCATAAAGCTGCTGTGCAGGATAAAATATAATATGTTTCATATTTATCTCAGGAGTATGTAATTGATTGTCCTTCAGTGAAAGTGGTTTAGTTTTTTTTTTTTTTTATTGAAAATTTTATAAATTTTACAAAAAAGGAAAAATAATACAAAACAAGAGGCAACATATACAGAAAAATAAAACTAAACAATACATATATTAAATAAAAAAAAAAACCCCATCCCCCAGCCCTCCCCCCCCCCAAAAAAAAAACCCTCCCTTCCCCCCCCCTGAGCTTCCCAGAGCAGAATATAGGCTTAAAAAATAAAAATAAAAATTAAATTAAAAACTTTATATTTATATATATAAAAAATTATCTATAATATATATGAAAATAAAACTTATGAAAAAACTATATAATATTTTTGTATACCCAATCTAAATTGTATAAATTTTATCCATTTATCCCAACAGCAAAAAACTTCTCTTGCGTTTGTTGCTTTAAGAAAGCCGAAATCTTTGCCATTTCTGCCAGATAAGCTACTTTAAGAAACCATTCCTGCAATGTAGGCAAAGATTCCTTCTTCCAGTATTGTCCTACTAACAGCCTAGCGGCTGTGATCAAGTTTAACATCAATACAAACTCCTTTGTATCACAATCTGTAACAATACCTAACAAAAATAATTGCGGAGTAAATTTTACCCTCCTTCTAAAAATTCTCTGGATATTCCACCATATTTTAATCCAAAATGCTTTTATCTCTCTGCATGACCACCAAATATGATAATAAGAAGCCTCCTTATAACCACATATCCAACATTTGGGTTGCACGTCAGGATACATATAAGACATTTTTTGTGGATCAAGGTGCCATCTATAAAACATTTTATAAAAATTCTCCCTTAAGTTCTGTGCTTGAGTAAATTTGACATTTCTCACCAAAATAGTTTCCCAGGTGTCCAATGAAACTGGCTCACCAAAATTCTGCGCCCATCTAATCATACAATCTTTAATTAGTTCCGTTTCTGAGTCCAATTCAACTAAAACCCCATAAATTCTCTTAATGTGGGTGTGTCTTTGATCCTTCAGTTGCTTAATAAGATTTTCATCTTCTCTAAGAAAACCCACCTTACAATCCATCTTCCATCTATCTAGTAGTTGCCTATATTGGAACCAAGAATAAGTAAAATTTTCTTGTGCTAATTCTTCCCGTGATTTTAATTGCCAGTTTTGTCCATCCCATTTAAGTAACTGTCTGTAAGACACCATATCAATTTTAACCCCTCTTTTTATTCCTTCTATCGCATGCCAAGGTATAGCCCATAATGGTACTTTAAAATCACTTTTATAATATTTTCTCCAAATCCTAAGTAAAGAAATTCTTAAAATATGAGATTAAAAAGCCCAATCTATTTTTTTATTAAATATTAAATAGGCATGCCACCCATAAAGTAAATCCCATCCCTCTAAGTAAAGTATCTCAGAATTTGTCAAATTTACCCAATCACTACTTAATGTTAAAACCACCGCATCATAATATAATTTCAAATTTGGTACCTTAAGTCCACCCCTCTCACGGAAGTCTTGCATAATTTTAAACTTAACCCTTGGTTTTTTCCATGCCCAAATAAATTTGTTGAGACCCTTCTGCCACTCATTTAAATTAATCTCATTTTTCAAAATTGGTAACATTTGAAACAAAAAAAGAAACTTGGGTAGAATATTCATTTTTATCACTGCAATTCTTCCCATGAGGGATAATTGCAGCTTTTCCCAATTCTTCAAGTCTTTCTGTATCCTGACCCACAACCTTTCATAATTATTTTTAAATAATTTTGCATTAGAAACAGACAGCATCACCCCCAAATATTTTACCTTATTAACAATCTCAAAACCCGTCCAGTTGACCAAAATCTGCTTCTCCTGACTCGACATATTTTTAGGTAAAATTTTAGTCTTATTTACGTTAATCTTAAAACCCGAGACCAAACCATAATGATGAATCAAATGTAATAAGTTTACTACAGAATAATCAGGTTGCGACAAAGTAACAACCAAGTCATCCGCAAAAGCTCTCAACTTATATTCTTTTTTATTAACATATATTCCTCTAATTTCCTGGGACTCTCGAATTTTGATCAATAATATTTCCAATGTTAAGACAAACAACAATGGCGATAAAGGACACCCCTGTCTAGTACCTTTCTCTATTGTAAAAACCTCCGACAAACCTCCATTAACAATAAGTTGTGCCGTTTGTTTTTGATATATTACCGTAAGGGCTTGTAATATCTTTTCGCCAAAATTCATTTCTTCCATTACTCTTAACATAAAATGCCCATTCAATTGATCAAATGCTTTTTCAGCATCTAAAAATATGAGCCCTGCAGGAACTTGGTTGTTCTTGTCTAAATATTCTAGTAAATTAATAATTTGTCTGACATTATTTTTCATATACCTTCCTGTTATAAATCCTGATTGATCTGTATGCACAAGATGATGCACCACCCTCATAAGCCTATTTACCAAAATTTTTACAAATATCTTATAATCCACATTTAAAAGAGATATAGGCCTATAATTTTTTGGTAGGGTAAGATCTTGATCCTCCTTTGGAATCAATGATATAAAAGCACTATGCCATGAAGGAGGAATCTCTAAACCCTGTAAAATACCATTAAAAAGATCATGTAATGGTTGGATCATCTCCTCTATTAGAACTTTGTAATAAACAGCTGTTAACCCATCCGTACCCGGTGCTTTCCCTAATTTCAATTGGTGAATTGCTGAGGTAATTTCCTCCTTAGTAATTAAACCATTAATTTCATATTTCTGATCCTCAGTCAGTTTAGGAAAACTTGCCTCAGCTAAATATTTATTTATATCTAGCATTTGTATATTAGTAGATTTATATAGGTTTTGATAATAATCCAAAAAAGATTTTTTAATCAATTCCTTCTGAGAAACTAATTTACCCTTATAGTTTATTTTCTCTATTATTCTTTGTCTCTGTGAAAGTGGTTTAGTTTTTAATATGCAAGAGATTGCAAATTATGTGTATATTACTTTGTAAATTGCACATATATACCTGTGATGCTGCCCAGTGCTTTTAAGCTATGAAGCACATGCACCTTCAAATCAGTTGCACCAAGTTTACCAGCAAATTTTTATAATTACACTGCGGAAATCCCATCAAACTTTGCTTCATGTGTTCTGGCATTGCTATTAATTGCTACTTTAAAAACCAGCATGGTGCCTGGTTTGAAAACTGGCTCTGAGCATAATAGAGTGAGAAGGTGGAGTACAGAAGCCAAACCCTGGCATCCAAAGCTAATATTTTGCACTGAATAATTGACATATAGGAAAGGCTTCTATGGGGAGGCAGCGAAGCATACTGCATTATTACAGAACAAAGCCCCACAAAAGAGAGTTCTGCCATAATGAATAGCAGAAATGTTTTAAATAAGGGGATTAATATGTCTGCCTTTTATATTCTGAATCAGTTCTATTCAGGATCCTTCCTGGTTAATAGGGCATTGATTGGTGATTCTTTCTCCAACAAGCTGCCTTTCCTTCTGTTTCTTTGCTGCTTGGATTTGGCCCATGACCAGAGTGCCTGTTCCTGCTACTGTGCCAGCCAACGTTATGACAGAGATGTTGCATTACATTATTTTTCCCCTTAACAATCAACTCTCTCTTCATTACGTTCAAGCACTGTTTTTTCTCTGTCCTCCAAGTTATTAATGTTATTAAACCAGAGTTGCTACTTATATTATAGAGGAATCACATATGATCAGTGAAGTTACAGCATCTAATATTTAAGATATGTAATGAACAGGCATCTGCTTCATAGACCTTTAAAACATGTGTAAACTTTGTATTGTTCCACCAAAATGTTTACAATGTTTCTGTTTCTTTTCTTTAGTTTATTGCATTATAATGCTGAATAAACCTTGGAACCAACTGTGGAGAAGAGGTTTTGATGAAGACATTTCTTTTTTGAATTTGAAGAAGATACTCTGCACCTTCCAAATTCTTAAAAGTTGGAAATGAAGGAATGGGAGCGGGAATATTGTTTTTGGTATATCAGCACATGGTTTAATTATGAATGAATGAACTCATGGTCTGGTCCTTGTGTTAGTAATTGTGGATTAATGTCAAGTTTAATAATCCTTTCAAGGGGGAGAAGTAAGGGGGGATGAACTTTTCAGAGCTGGATAACACAGCACAACCCTCAATTTTCATGGACTTTGCTTTTTTTGTGTGCAGAATTTGAAATGGTTGTCACCTCCCTTTGTGACAATTTGAAGTGTCAACAGCAGCTGCAAAGGAAGCGGACAAGGCCTGGCTCAGCAAGATGTATCTCTTTTTGAATGAAGATCCAGCTCTGCCCAGGGGGATGGGCTTTGTCTTAGGCCAGGGGTCTGCAACCTTGACAACTTTAAGACTTGTGGGCTTCAGCTCCCAGAATTCCTCAGCCCCCTGGCCTAGGCAGTGCCAGGAGCATCAGATTCAATCGGTCAGCTGCATTGTGGCTCTGAATTACTTTCTTAGGGAGCAGCAGCTCAATTATTAAAAAAACAATATTTTTTTTCCCAGCATCTTATGTGAAAGAGAATGACTCCTCTTTCCTAAATACATGCAATTTATTTCTTCTTGTATTTATTATGACTGTCCTGCTTCTAAATTGTTACTTGTTGTAGATACAGCTATTTATTGTTCAGGGCTTGCATGCTGAAACAAAGCCTGAAGTAATTTTCAAGTATAAGGGCTTATGGGACTCTTATGTTTTGCACATTCTGTGATTTCTGACTTGCTCCGCTGCACAAAAAAAAGCTGAATAATATTTGAGAAGAGAGTTGGGTAGGGGTCAGAATGGAACTATTGCAAGGTAGCATTTTAAATTGTACATGTACTGAAGGACGAAGCCATGAGGTTGTTTTCTCAAGCCATTGACTCCCTAAATCACATTTGTGCCCCGCTGGTAGTATTTCTGTTACATTTTTTTTTTAACCTAGTCATGCCTTTTGAATGAAAACATCTAGAAAGAGAGAGACAATAGCTTTTGTAGCTTTCTTTTTGTGCAGCCTCATCACTACTGGAAAGGGGACTGGAGGGAAATTCTATAGAACCTTTTTTTTTTCTCCAATAAGCGATGTCCAGTTTTGTTTTGTTATTTATTTATTTATAGCTCATGGGATGTTTAATGTGCCATTTATATGACCAGGGGAACTTTATTCTCTTTAAGAGATGGGAAACCCTAGGGGAAAAGAGTTAGTTTCTAGTTAAATTAACACCAATTCTCTTGGTTTATTTTCTTGGATTAAAATGGAATTAAGACCCATTCTTCCCCCATCTGTTTTTTGATATAATATTATAATTTGATATAATATTATATCTATAATATTATATCTATATTATTAGGTATAATAATTAGGATGCTCAATGGGGGAACAGGGAATTGCTAAATTCATTTAATATATTGTTTTGCATTAATTAGCAAATTGAGCTTTCAGAAGAACAGTAGCTGGAAGTATTATATGTAGGGTCCCGATCAATTAAAGGATTTTTAAATGTCCTATACCACCAACTTATTTTTTGGCTTGAATGTAGAAGTAAACCTGTTCAGTCTTTCCTGGTGTACTTAGCCCATAGTTCCTTTGTTTAACTTTCTAGCTGTGCTTTTCATAAGAATTGGTACAGCCAAACAATACACTGCTACCAGTCCTCCATTGTGGTTGGTTGTCTTAATGTTGTGTAAGCAAATTATTTTGAAATGCATGCATGCATGCTTATAAAGAGTTATGATCACGTCTGCTTACATTCTGATAATGTAGCTCAATTCTGACAGTTTATTGTAAAGAACAATTTGTGTTCATGGCATAATCCTATATGTGTTTACTCAGAAGTAAGTTGTAGTGTCTTCACTTGGGCTTACTCCCCAGTAAATATGTTTCACATTGTAACCATCGGCTTTAGAGAGCTTTCTCATGTTGCCATAGAGTTTTTTCCTGATTCTTAATATATATGCATTTCTTATGTATTATCTTAAGTAAGAAATGAATGTACGTGAAGTTTTTCAAATTGTTAATTGTGATTCTTAGCATGGGTAGCAGAGAGGATTTGAAGAAAGTCTGAATTATAAAACACATAAACATTGTATTGTGAACTTCTATTGATTTATACATTATTGACCGAAGTCTGATTTCTTTGGTCAATCTGACCAGAAAATATTGGTCAGTTGCCTTCATTTAAGAATAACTCTGCTTCTAAACTCTGATTTAAATATCCAAGGGTGAAGTTATATTAATAATCATTTCACTGAGGTGTTTGACAACCTGTATACCACTGTGCAAGCTAATGCACAGAGTACAGCTGCATTAACTTAAGGAAGGATAAGGTTATGATTTATTATTGTTTGTTGATATCCTAGAAGGGCTTGATGGTATTGCTTGGCAGTTTTGCAAGGCAAATTGGAAAATTTAGTAAAAACCTATTACCATTTAATTTACAAAGCTACAATAATCAATTCAATGCATTTCGTATAAAGCCCTGCCTGCAAATTCTTTCCAAATATCTCTTAATTTACGTTAGGATTGGAGATATTGTTGCTCCTATAACATACATGCAGATAAAGCAATTGTAAGTGCTAGCACTATGAGTACTTTTGCATTCACTTTATGCAGGAAGTAATGGCTATTTTTGTGTGTATGTGTAGAAGGGTGAAAACATAGAAATGACAGAATTCTGTGTGGGCACTTCTCCATGGAATTAAGTTTATACGGCAAACCTGTTTTGTAATACCATCCAATTTCCTAAAGAGTCTGAAGTTTTTGCAGTTGCATTTCAAAGCAGTAGCTGCTTTCAAGGGCTTGGATTTACTTCATGGGTATAGGCAGAAGGGAACAGAAAATCAGGGTGGCCTCTCTAGCCCTGCAGGCGAATATTTTGAGCTCTTAGTCTTTGAATCAGCATGGGAATCTTGATTCACTACTTGGTGATTTCCAGTCTGAAAAAATAGCCCACACTTCTGAGACAAATGCGGTTCACATAAGAGTGCACACAAAAACCTTGGCATAAGACGAGAAAGTTCTTTGTATTTTGTGGGCTAGTTGCTGTGGAAACATTAAACAAAGGACAACCTACCACTTCTGGTATAATTGTGTAGCCCCTTTTCTTTAGGCCTGACACCTGTCTGAATAAGAGTGATTAGAACTGAATAGTGTCCCTTGTCTGGCAACTGAAGATGCGGTTCACGTACAAAAATAAGTGAAGTAAAATGTCTATGTGTTTCTTTGTATGCTACTACATTTTTGAGGTTTTGTAAAACTGGATTTTTTTCACAATGTGAAACTGAAGGTCAATAAATTATTAGAGATTTTCTCTTAAATATGCTCTTCTGAAGTTTTTATTTCCTAATAAAAATAAAACAAATGCTTAGCTCAGTGTGTAAGTCCTGCCTTAATAAAAAGGGCATCTCAAAATCAGTTAAGAGTTGATTGTTTTCTAATATCTGCTTTGGTTGCACTGGAATGTTCCCCTTTGTTCTAGTCTGTCACTCTTAACTGAATCAGCTTTTAAAATTCAACAGTTAAAATGACAGGAGCTTTGAGATGATTCTGTGGGCAAGCATTTATAAATCTTCTACTCTCAGTTTTTGAAAAAGGGCTTGGAGACTGATATTACTTGAGAAATAAATTATGCAAGACAGAATTATTCCTGAGGGATAAAGTGAAAAATAACTGGTGCCTTTCCCTTTTCCATACTAAATACACAATCTAGAAGATAAATTCATTGAAATCAGTGTGAAGTGATTATGGACAAGAGACAACTAGGTTCCACTTCTCTGCATAACTTGGGGGGAAAAATGTACATAGCTTCTTCCAGTCTTCAGCTAGAAGGAATATAAGAAATCTAAGTTAGAACTTTAGGAATTTGTTTATATTTCTATTTTTTTTACAAGAAGTTCTCAATTTATGATCGTAATTGAGTTCAGAATTATGGTTATAAGTCAGGCTACGGTAAGTAGGCCACCATGTGATCGTGCCTGATTTTATGTCTTTTGCAGTGGTTAAGCAAATGTGGTTATCAACAAGCTCATTGTACTCAATGGAAACTAGAAATGCCGGTTCTTGGCAAAAAACATAAAGCACCCAAAATATGATCATATGACTTGGGAGGGGAGGAATGGTTTTTGGAACTCCAGAACTGAGTTGTCAGTAGTTCTGGTGAGGCCTCTCGTAACTTTAAACAGTTGTTAGGTGACCGGTTTTAAGTCAGGGACTAGATTTACATATATGCATCCATGTATTTTCATAGTATTTATAACCTGCTCCAGACTGGAAAGATTCTGGGCAACATACAGTATTAAAAAAAACCGGGAAAAAACCCACTAGGGTACATACATGTTCAGTAACAAAAAGCAGCTTTCACAACTCTAGAACTACCAAAGATAGTTCCTGTATTTCATTCAATTCATCCAAGCATTCACATTTGTTGGGTAAACATGCAGAAACATTTTAATTCAGTATTTGAATTTGCTGTTTTGCAGAATGTTTAAGCTGCACATTTGTACAGTGGTAAGTGCAGAGGGACTTAAAGAGACAAAGAAGAGAAAGCTGTAGTAAACCAATGTGCTCTGCAAGGTTTTAGAAATAGACATTGAACAACTGAGTTTTTAACATATTACCTCAGTGCAGAACAGCAGTGGCCAACACCATCCTTTCAATTGTCCAGTATTCACTATCAGAAAGAAGGGTTGGGAGATCTTGATAGGTAACATGATTCAATTTATTTATCCATGATGGACATTGTTGATGGAATACGATATTGTGAAATTATTAGAAGATAAATTAAACTAAATCAAATTCTTCAACTTTGGAATACATCTCTAAAACTCAGTTCTTTTCTCCATCTAAACAAGCCCCTTAGCAATGCACTTTTCTATGTTTTGAGTAAAATATCTTAGTGACTTTTAATAGCAATAGCACTTAGGATCCAAACTAAGTTAATCATCAGGACCAGAGTTTTAGTCTTCCAAGCTTTTGCACTCATACTGGATTTTTTCTCTCTCCAGAATGTGTGCACTGGGCTGTTCCTTGTGTAGTATTCATGTGGTAGTGCCTCATTGTGTGCAGCTTTTATTTGATCATTAGAATGTGGATGACCAGTTATTAAGATGTTGATTGTTGTTTCCTTGTGCTGGCACACACTTAGTTCCTAAATACCTGTTAAGCTGGTAGTAAATCAGCACTCCTGTTGACTGATAAGGGGCCACTTTCCAGTCTTCAATCATTTTCCTAGCTATTTTTGTCCCTGCTCAGCCAACAATCTTAGTAGCTGTGAATTGAATGTTTGTCCTTGTTCATTGAAATGTGAGACTATCAATGAGTTCAGGTCTCCTCACTCATGTTCTTGCAATCTGGTGGTTAGCTTCCTCCCCATCTGTTCTATATAGTCATGGGCAATCCATGCAGAGAATATGGTAAATTATAATAGAAATTTCTCTCATCTCCAAGCAATCTTTGTAATGCAGGATTTGTCCTCTTAGGACAGCCCCTGGGCAGTGGGCAATGGCCACTTGCAGATCTTGGAAGCTGTTCTACTGCTTCTGAATTTTTTTGAAGTATGGCAGGGTGTGCCATATAGTGTATCTTGTATCTTCTTCCTTTCTCCTGCATGTTGGGCAGTCATCTTGTAATAAACACTTGTGGGTATCCATTCTGCCTGAATTGTTTACATAAGTACCTGCTCTCTCCAGTTGCTTTGCTTGCTGGATATTAGTGGGTTCTCACCCTGTCATATTGTATTATGACACAACTCTTTATGTGATAGTAGATGGTTACTTTTGAAACTTAGAATGCGTGGAGTGCTGGTAGCCTTGCAATATAATAGCCATCAACACCCCAATTAACAACTAAAATCTATATATAATCAGGCACCACATGAATACTACACATGGAACTGCTCAGTGCACACATTCTAGAGAGAAAGAGGTTCCCTGAGGATTGGCTGTAGCACAAGTCTGAAAGCTTGGAAGACTAAAATTCTGATCCCAGTGACTGACTCAAATTGGATCCTGGAAGATTATCCTGGGACACTTACACTTGTCTTCATTTGTAGTAGCACTTAGAATGCTTTAGTGTACTCTCTGGGCAATTTACAATGTCAACATGTTGTCCCCAATAATCTGGGTCCTCATTTTACTGACCTTGGAAGGATGGAAGGCTGAATCAACCTTGAGCCTCATCAGGATCAAACTTCAGGCTGTGGGCAGTTTGCCTGCAATACTGCATTCTAATTACTGCGCCACCAGAAGTCCTTTAAACATGTACTGTTATTAAATTAGAAAAGTGAAAAACCCTACTCAGAAAAATCTAGTTGCTCGCCATTGTTTTGAACGGCAATGTGGACTGCAAATAAATTGAATAATAATTAATTAATTTAACAAGCAGAAATTATTTCCATATTAATGACAGTTTATGTGACATAATTAGTTCAAACTACACACATGCATAATATAGCTTTTAGAAATTGGGTGTGCTGAATGAATTAAATCTTGAAGATCACTTTGCAAGCTGCATTTTGACATTATCAGCACCTTTAATGGAGAGAGCAAGGCAAAAACAACAAACCAATTCTCACTAAAGAAAATCCAATAATAAATGTGTTCATCAGGTTCCACCATTTATTTCCAGTATTTTGACTGAAACCTCAGTGTTTTAAGGTAAGGCTATTAGGAAAAAAATATGAATGTAATTTTTAAAAGTCCATTATTTAATGCCAGCTTTATAGATTTATGATTGCCTTATTACACTTATGCATAATTGGCAGATTTGCTTTATATGACATATTTGTTTATTATACCCTATAAATATTTTAAAAGCTCTTATGATACAAACTATAGCAACATTATTCTATTTTTTTCTACTTTTTTTCTTCTTTTTTTTTCTTCAGCTCAAGCCTTATAGAACAAAAAGTCTCCTTTGTCAAGATCATTCATAGAGACAATGTTCAATAAAGATGACTTTTTCTGTAGGGGTACTTATGCCTTCTCCACCCAACAATTGGTCTAGGGACAATTAACAATTTATACACATCGCAACTGTCTGTTTATGCTATTCCTCAGAAAGATGAAACTAAATGAGTGTGAGTTCAGAAGAACTGGAATGAGAGATGTGCCTTACTTTCACAGGAGACATTAGAAAGGCGTCCAAGGACAGCCTTCTCTTTGAAGGCATCACCTATCTAGAGAGCTACCCCATTCATATCCAGTTTAAAGATAAGGAAACTTATGAATGGAGAACGAGTACTTTGAAGTTACCCATCAACAGCAGATTGTGCAGACAGATAAATTACCTAGTCATAGTATTGCAGATTAGATTGGTGAGATGTTCTGCATGTCTAAAATTAAGTTGTAATACTTATTTATAAATTTGTACCACTAGATATAAATTAGTTCTACCTGGCTCAAAGTTTGTCCTGTTGTTTTTTTCATGATAAATTACCTCCTTTTGTAGTGGTAGGTATGGATATGCCATAAAACAGATAAGCATATAAACTTTTCTTTACAATAAGCAGTTTTCCTTTTCTTACTGAACTGACTCATGGAATAAATAAATGCTTTTTGATTAAAATTCTCTAAATAATACATGTAAAATATGGAAAGGAGAATGCTTAAATTTTAATTCTGTCCTAAAAAATAACTCTAACCCCTACAAAAAATTGAATGGACAGCATGAGAGTCTCAAATGTAAATCCCTATACTGTTGTCAACAGTGTTTGTGTGTGTATGTGTGTGTGTGAAATGTGTGTCAAAATAGTGGTCATGACCATGAATTTGAAGCCCTGTCCCATTTTAAATTATCTTGAAACATTTAAAAAGAGGTGAGGCTTTGGTCATGTGGCTGTGGCTGCCTTTGCTGTAGTTGTCAAGAAAATGAAATATGAATGAATTAACAAAGAAGAAAACTAACTTGATTTGAAGACAATTTTCCCTCTACTTATTATATTTTTTTATCACATGGGCTCCAGCAAGTGATTTACAGAACTATAGCTTACAGAAACTTCATATTGCAGTTATTTAGGCATCCCAGTGAAAAGACTTGAGTGTGACTTCATTTATTATGACTAAGTAGAATCAGGTGTGCTAGCTCAGAGCTAAAATTTGGAGCAGCAGTCCAAGTGTAGGCTTCTGAGGAAGCCCAGACAAGAAGCACACCCAGAAATACTAGTTCTAATTTTTTTGCAAGGTTACATTAACAGAACCTTGCAAGTCTGAAAGTACATCTCTTCCCCATCACCTTTATAGTCCAAAAAACTAGGGAGGGTTCTTTCTGAGAATTTGTCCTGCCCCCATTTCTTCTCTGGGCTAGACTGTTGCTTGTCTGA